TCGGGTCGCCCTCCTCCGCCCGCACACCGGCACCCCGAGGCCCAAGACCGCCTTACCCAGCTCGCCACCGAGCACAGCCCCAGCACGCCCCCCATGGCGACCGCGTCCACGGGGACGATGCCAACAAAATGGAGACAGTTTCTTCCTTGGCTGCCTGGGATTATTTACTAGCGAGACACTTCCGGCGCAGAGCCCGTCCCGCCCCTCGCGTGTGCGTCACTTCCGCCATGGGGCCAATGGGTGTGGCAGGAGCCCGCGCCGGGATTGCGCGTGCGCAGGGACGGGCAGTTGTTTTCGGTGCTGGGTGGTTTCCGTTAACCGCCGGTATCCGCGGTACTGGGCAGGTCGTAGTTTCCAAATGAGAAACGACCGTGTAGTTGAGTCTGAGCGCTCGCGGGACAGGCGCTGCGGTGACATCCGCGGGTGTGTGCGGAGCGCTCCTCTCCTGACCAGCTCGCCTGTCCCTTCCGCTCGTTTCCGGTTTTCCTGCTCCTGCACCCCTCTCTCCATGCGCTCCCGTCCCATTCCCGCGACCCGCCGCCGGGGACGAGTTTCGTGTGGATATTTATGTTCTTCGGGCTTCTTGAGTTCTGTCTGACTTCTGTTGCCCTCGGTAGATCCGTGCTCCCCCTGAGTGCCATTCAGTGCCGAGACGGGCGGGCCTCGGTGAAGGTGTTCTTATAAAAGTGCCGGCTCTTACTATTTAAAATGATTGATCTTTGAAGATATTCTGAGGGAGAGATGTGACAAACAAATAACTCCAACTTGAAAGAGTCATTGCCATACTAATAATGAGATAGAACCCTTAACTCCGGGTCCGGACGAAAGAGGGAGGAATTGGGTTGGATGAATGATAATGAGTTTCCTTTGGACGCGCTGAACCTGAAGTCTTTGAAATGTCACCCATTCTCACCTGGAAATGCTAGCTTGAAAGCCAGGAATGAGATACAAAATTTAAACTAAAAGAAATTATTATGGGAGATTTAGGATTGAAGAAGATAACCAGAGGGCAGTATAGGCACAACAGTCCTGAATGTGGAACCAACATTTTTAACCCTGGAATATTTATCAGGTGGGAAGAAACTATTAATTTAGTTTGCACCTTCTCAGTCGGATTGTTGAGGTCATCTGCGCGCACCTGTCTTCCAGCTGCCACCTTTAAACTCCATTTTCAGTATCAGTTGTGAAAATACTGTAAGATGCTTGACTCCTCAGAATCTGTGTCCTCATTAGTTGTGTAGAGTAGGGAAAACTAACCTTATAGACCCGTGAGGTTTAGGTGGCACAACAAGTGATAAAACCCCATACTGCGTGCTGTATCCAGTACAGGCTAATTTACTTACCTTTCTGCTAGGAAGACCAACTTCTGTGACTTGCCAACCTGGTAGACATAGCCTACACCCAAAAGGCTACTTCCATTTCTCAGGTCATTTTCCCAGGGTGCGTCCCTTAGATTTCCTGTTAGGTACCTATCCTTGAGAAAGATAGCATCTTGTGATTCATAACGAAGTTTGATTCCGAGACACGTCATACTTTCATGGGTGAATTCCAGATATCATCTACTTTTCACCGAGTGTCTCCCATCAGTGGCATCTGTGACACGGGAGACATCAGTTCCTTAAGGGGGTCTATAGTAACAAACGAGCATTTCTTATATAGATATCCAATAATAGAGTGGTGTCTTAAGGTAAAATCATGGCGTCATACACTAATTTGTTCTGTCACAAGCCCTGGAAAGAAATTTTGGGCAATCTACAATTATATAGATTATGAATCTACACAGTGAGTTATGGAGTGGTACAGTAGAGAATCTCAAAAAAGTTCCAGATCCACATTTTCGTTTCCATAAGGTGATTCACCAGGATGCTAAACATATGTTCAGTGTTTATTACCCCAAAACTAAACATCTGTAAAATGAAAAATATTTTAGAACCACAAAAGGTAAAGAATACCGTCATGACCTTGAACTTTTCATTTCTTCAAGAAATGAAGCCCGATACAAATCGTTTTGCTCCTTATTGCATTGCCCCTCCTCCTCCTCCTCCTCCTCCTC